ATGGAGCATACACAATGGGCGTCCATTGTTCACCGAACCTCAACGTCCATGAAATTTCCTTTATTGACGTTCATAAGATATTTTACATGGATATTTTATGAACATCCAGGTTGATGTCTTGAGGATATTCTTTTGAGGTTGTGCCAATCATACCGACTGAATGACTCAATGAATAGAAAACAATATATTTCGATACTGGCAAATTATAGACTGGCATATTCTTCAGTTGCTACTATATACAGGGTATCTTACGATGATTATGACAGGGAATATCGATAAACTCGATAGTAGTAGGAAATTGTAATTTCGGGACTGTGAATAAGAGCAATTGCAGCAGGTTTTTCTGATATTTCATCGCCCAAAGAGTTTCTCGTTTTCGACCACGTGGAATCAGATTGAAAATTTCAAATGTGACAAACTGTAGATTTTGGCATTTCTATATGTTCCTCTCGGTGAACCTATTTAAAAACTTGTGATCCAAAACGATCAATTTAAGAACAACAGGTACTCCAGTATCTTTTTGTTCCACTGAAACGAGCTATTGTCAAATTATTCAAGTTTAGGGTCACCCTGTATATTTGGACAGTCCAATTTTATTGGTGGTGATGAAAACAATGATGATTCATATTTTATCAGAAAAAGTAGTCAAGAACAGTGGGCCAAAGAATATTGAAGTACCTTCAGTTTTCAAATTGATCGGTTTCGATCATATAAGGGTGATAGTTTGTTGGAATCGTATCATCGGGCGAAACATTGTAATTTCAAAATATACAGGTTGTCCCATCAACAATTTTGAATAAGATGTCACGTGACTGAAGACACACATCTTTATTGGGTGACATAATATCGGAAAATGCTGCCCAATAATTGATTTAATTCACAACCCCAGAATTACAATAATCTACTACTATCGAGTTTCGAGTGTCTACATCGTCGTGGGACACCCATCTATATACAGGGTTTCCAGAAATGACATGGGAGAATCTTAATTGCGTATTCCATGGACAGTATAATAGTAAATAGAGTTTATGTAAACATGGAACCAGAAATGGCCTCCTAGGGAGTTATAGCCATCTGAAGGCGAGTCCGAGATTAATGTACTTTTTGACTAATTTAGACCCCTTTCTTCATTTGATGATTTGCATCTGTTCGTTCAAGGATTGCCAAAAGATAATACAGATGAAACCCTACATACAACTTCCATATCTGAAGTTAATTTCCACCTCTTATATTTGAAGCTGTGGGTATGGGGGTCTGAATACAAGTAGACATCAGATACAAATATGTGAATATATTCCAGAAATAAAGGGCGGTGTTTTCTCAATTGAAAGTTTATTGATAATATCACATTGAATATACCAATATCCTGTGACAATCTTAGATATCATTTAAATAAAATATAATTATGTGGAAGGATTTCCAAATGAAAACAAAAAATATCTTGAACATAACATTATCAAATAATCAACATTCTTATTCTTATACTTAGTATTAGGATAACAAATAAGGAATAAAAAATAAAATGGTATTTCGAAAATGTAATAATTTCAAAGGAGAACCATCCTTAAAGGTCGTATTGAATTGTTATACAGGGTGTGAATCAAGTTTGTGGCCAAATTTCGAGGGGGGATTTTTTTTGGTTATTCTGAGACACATCAAAGTTAATATAATAAAAAGTCCGCAAAGGCATGATTAAAAAAACCGTATTTGGTAAAAATCTTATAACCATAATCAGATTCTAACGATACTCACAGAACATCCAATTTTTTAGAACCGTATATTGAAAATTATTCATTTCTGGAGCTGTTTTTATATCAAGTTCTCGTCTTAGAAATATTCAAAAAATCATCCCTCGTAGTTTGGTCGTATATTCAACTAACACCCGCTATATGAACTGAACAACAATCCTGATAATGTACTATATGTGTATCAGGCATGTGCAGGTACGTAAACTCATCAAATTATATCCATACACCACATATTAGATTTCAGAATACTTGTGAATTCTGATTTGAATGTTCTATACGAGTCGTAATGAATTGGGAGCATTAAAATATTATTGCATGTGTGTGACGTTGGAAATTTCTGATTGCTGAACTCAATAGATATCGAATCACAAGTTACAATGTCAGCACCCGTGCAAAATCTCATAAAACGCATTAATATGTCCATGTCAGCTTCCCGTATCAATCTTTTCAAAAAATTCAGAACTTTATCTTTACCTGCATCCAAGTTTTCTTCGTCAATATTTTGAAACAATTTCATAACGGATCTATTTGTAACTTCACATTTTTTGTAGATCCCGTTCAACATATCGACAGAAATAGAATCCTTCAATACAGAACCCCAAGTTTGTAGTATATATAATGATTTTTGAATTATTTCGGTATGTGCTAAATTTCGAACGACCGTTGTTATGTTTCCTTGATTGACTTCTTGCTTGCATTCAATATTTGTCAAAGCATCAATCAATTCGGAAGGGTCAACACTTCCGAAGTCAATAATGGCTTTATTTAGTACTTCGGCATCGATAGGGGAAATATATTGCATATAAGCTTCTGTGAGATCTGACTGAACTTGGCCTAGTATAGCGAATTCAATAAATGGCCTCGATATTTTGACAGGAAAGTAATTTGCTTGTCTGTACCCAATGAGTAAAATTTTAGCAATTGACTTCCACTTGCTGTCGTCAAGCAAATAGTTGACTTCAGGAATTTTTGTGGTGCTACCAACACAAAGTCTATCATAGAATTCATTCCAGTATTCTGTTAGCGCATCCCTGAATACGCCACCACCATCAAATGCGTTCTCTTTCACTCCATTCGTTCCTATGATTTGTATTTCAATCAATTTGTTGAAGCTTTCAAATACTGAGAATTCTTCAGTCATCTCAACAAATATTCGCCCCCTGTGTAAAACCAGCGTTTTTGATGAAGATAAAGTTTCTGAAACTTGACGAACTGATCCATTTTGTGTGAAGTTTAGATCACTCTCGAGATCTCCGAAAATCAAAAATTCGTCTAAAGATCTCCTTTCATCAGAGTCTAGAAGTAAATCAGCATTATACAAGTCATTTTCGGGAGGTAACTCGTCTGGTAATGATATTTCGATGCATTTTTGCCCTTCTTCAGCTGGCACTTCATTCTTATCCGCAACTTTGCAGACTGTATCTTCTAAAGGAGTGTCTTCCTTGGAAACTTTCCTTCTTTTATTAGTTTTCTTACGACTGTTTTTCTGGTTTTTAGCGTCGGATTTCGAGTCAGCTTCCATTATCTTATTTGTTGACAAATAAAACCTTAATGTGGTCAGTCCTGTCATTTTGTACATTTCTCCTACAGTGAAGTTATTATCGAATACAAGCTGCTTGTAATCCAATAAATCATATGTGTACTCTGACAATGCACCAAATTCCTTTGCGGAAACTCCTTTCGGAAAAAACAAGTCCAATGCCTTATTAAGTATGTCCTCCTTCTTGGCGCTTTTATCGACATGTATACTTCGCGATCCGCCTCCATTTTTTTCCCTTATTGGAACACCATCCATTATCCAGCCTATATTTATCATTCTTGATTTTCTTTCATTTGGCGCCTTTTTATTTTTTTCTTTGCTTTGAATCTCCGTAAGAACATTTTTTCTGCCACCAGCGTGTTCCTCATTTAACTGGCTTTTCTTGATCCTTTCAACCAAACTGGAACGTATCGAAGTTCTAGGAGACACACTACATTTACAAAATCTTACTACAGCTAATTGGTCTCCAATCTTCGGAATATATTTTGATAGAAGAATCTCATTCATCTCTATTATTGCTGCCATATCAATCTGAAAAACAAATATATACAGTCAGAATATAGTATACACCTGCTTTATATCTTCAAAACTCCATCAAACTAATTGAGCAGATCATACAGGATATTTGGAAATTCGACCGACAAAGCTTGACAGGTACATAGCCCTCGTGTTTTTAATATAACTTGGGTAGGGACATACGGTTATAGTTGCGCCGGTTTTCAAGGAGCACAGATGGTAATTCTTTCGAACAAAAAGCACGGGGATATTTATTATACTTCTTTGCTCACCCTGTGAAATTTCTGGTTACGAACCCTGTCGTAATTTAGTTAACATCCACTTTCTTAATCAAGTTTTTATTTGTCAGAGAACTTGAACAGATTTTGATGCACACTATATAGTATTATGTATACAGGGTGTACATAGTAATATATCGTTTTCTAATCAAAACTTCAATGTTCTATATTTTCATGGAATTTGACATGCACCTACTGAACACTTTTTGATGCAGGAGATTTTTCAATGCTTTCACCAGTGGCGTCCGTGTGGGATGTATACTGGAGATTTTTCTTTGCTTTGCTTTTTCCAAAGTTGAAAATCATTTTTGAAATCCAAATTCATGCAGTTTGCAACAATTTGAATTATATATAAGTATACATTGAAGTTATCATAAGGAAGGGATTTTTTTTTAAATTTTCAACCAACTCATAGCTCGAAAGAGGTTTATGGCATATGTTCAATGAACTTTCCTTCTTGAAATGAGCTAAGGAACCATATCCTATATTACAAGTCATCAATTGAATTACACCCTTATATTGCTCTAGTTACTAGCTATTGCATCACCCAGGCGGCCAATGGGCGGCAGCTTTCTGAGGGTGGCACTTGCACGATTTGTAATCCCTAATAACACAATTATGTCCCATGGATATCCTTAGGACGTCCTGTCGGGACATTCAGGACGTCCATAGCACGTCTGTGGGACGCACAAATGTCCCACTCGAGGACCAACTATAGGGCCGTCCTTGAGGGATGTCCCTGGGACAACTATCGAATGACTAAGCCCTACAGCAGGAGTTCTCAACCAGGGGGCACGCCTACCAAGGGGGGCATAGACAGATGTCAAGGGGGGCGCGGGCGCAAAGCGTATATTTTTTTTATTATCACTAAGGTGGTAAACAGGCAAAAAAAACAAAAAAGATGACACATTTCAATGTATGTTGGCTTATTTAACTGACATAATATTTGGTGCCTTGGATGAGCTAAACTTGAAACTTCAGGGCAGAAACGGCACTATAATAAGCAATGATGATTATATTCAGGGGTTCATAGCAAAGCTTCAACTTTGGAATAAAAAATTGTCTTCTGAAATTGTTATATCTTTTTCTCGGCTATTCAAAGCAATCAAAAATAACGAACTGGACGCAAATTTGAAAGCTGACATAAAAACTCATTTACAAGCGCTGGAATACGAATTTCGCCGATACTATCGAGACATCGATTCAGAGTCACCAATATGGCACATGACAATAAATCCATTTTTTGTCGATGTGTTACAATTACCAGAAGAAGTTCAGGAAGAATTTCTAGAAATGAAAGCTGATTCGTCCATGAAAGATGACTTCCATCTTTTGACATTGGAGAAATTTTGGATCAAAAGATTGCCTGTTAATTCGAAACTTGCCTCTCTTGCTTTACGAGTATTAATTCCTTTTTCTTCAACTTACTTGTGTGAGACAGGCTTTTCTGCTCTAGTTTCAATTAAAACTTAACAGCAAAATCGTCATGATGTCGATAGCGAACTAATGATAGCTCTGGCAAGTACAGAACATAGAATCAACCAACTGGTACAGAACATGCAAGCTCAAGTGTCTCATTAATACCTACTTTTACCTTACCTTAGATATAAAATAAAAGGCTTTTGAGTACATAATGTGCGTTTTTTGTATTTATTATTGTAAAAGTGAAGGGGGAGGGGCATGAAAATATTATTAGTAGTCCAGGGAGCCTCAAGGAAAAAAGGTTGGGAAACCCTGCCATACAGTATTCCTCATCAAGCACCACGGAGGACATCCTTAGGACATCAGTAGGACAACCTATCATTAACGCTGACTGATATCAATTGGATGTCCCAGGGACGTACGAACTATTCTTGAATTCGAATTTTTCTGGGTCCCCCTAGGACCACATCTTGCATAATTGATGAGGACATCTAGTTGAGTTGATGATCCGTAGGAGGTCCCCAATAGATCCTGAAAAAGTTTCCCAAGGATGTCCAATGGACTTACGTGAAGGACATTGATGGGGAGTATTTATAGCCTACAAGCAATAATTCTTCGGCGAGGTGTAAGTTAATGTTCTCGCAGGGACAACATATCGAAAGTATCGACTGGGACGTCCGTAGGACATTATTTCTAGCACATTGGATAAGTACAGTTCATGTACTAATTGGGACATCTGACGGACATCCCTAAGGCACATTCGAAGGATGTCCCTACGGAACATTTCGGTTGTCATTCGATCCTGGAAATATTAAGGGCATCTGGGCAGAGATATCTGGAGGAATGTACTATCGGGGACATTTCATGGTTGTCTAGAAGGGACATTATATATGATTTGAAGTCATGCCAGAATATGTACTACTCGGGACATCCGATGGATGTCCATAAAGAAACGTTTCAAATCATATCCCATTAGGGACATGCCAAGGACGTCCATACATTTGAAATGATATACCAGCTGGGACATTCCGTGGACGTTGTTCAGACATTGCATGAGATGTACGGGATGGGACGTCCCAAGTACACTTATTTTGGTCCGGGACATTCGGACTTGAATTGTACTAAATAGGGACGTCCCTAGGACGTTGTGTGCTATTAGGGATCATGGATACAACGAACTAGCCTTATGATACAGGTTCATTTGTTGTGTTCACGTTATTTTCTTTTCTCAAAATCTAGCAACAACTCTGAGTCTCTCATGTAATTATATATCATTGATACAGAGGATCACTTGGTTCAGAAATATGAACAATTTCACAGTCACACTCCCTCTAATGAGACGGTAAATAAATTGAATCTACATCATTTGATCTTTTTATGATTACGAGGAACCAACGTTTACCCAAACTTTGACAAAGCTTCCTGCAAAACATTTTGGTGAGAAACCTCAGATTTATGATCAGCATCTCCAAAAACATACTGAGTATATCAAAACATCGAAACTACTCCAAAATTAGTTTCAAAGGCACACCCCGTATACATGGACGTATCCTTTAACAGGAGTATAGAGTATATCACAGACAGCACCAGATATTCCATGAATCTCCCTATCATATTCCTTTTGGAATATTGGAATATTCTAGAAATAATCTGGAATATTCCGGAAAATCTGTGGAATATTCTCTAAATATGCGAATGGGAATTCCTCAGATAATCATAGAATATACCCAAAAGAATATTCTATGTTGAATGTTCCTGGAATATTCCAATAAACATATTCTAAAATAAAAAAAAGTGACCCAAGTAGGGATCGAACTCGTGACCTCAAGACTATCAGAGCAACGCCTTGACCACTAGGCCAGTAATCGAATTGAATAATGTTATAGGTACATATCAAGTTCTTGTGAGAGCATTGTTCGAAATCGGATCATAAACACTGTTTGTTTCAAAATCCCCTTACATCTAATTGATGTTCGATACTCACATCTCTGAAATAATAAATGGTATTTATGTGTTGAGAAACATAGGAATATTCATGGAATATTTCATGAATATACACCACAGAATATTCAGTTGAGAATATTTCATGAATATACCGCACAGAATATTCAGTTGGGTATATTTATGAAATATACCCAACTGAATATTCTGTGCGGTATATTTCATGAATATACAACAGAGAATATTCAGTTGGGAATATTCCTGGAAGATTCATACCTGAATATTCCCTGAACATGTCCGACTATTCACTTTGGAATATTCCTTTTAGATGTTCCAGAGGCATGTATATATTCTAGGAATAATCGATGAATATTCGGAATATACTTCCCTTTTTTAGCATATTCAGAGAATATTCTATGAATATCCAGTGCTGTCTGGGATTCTTCAACCAGCGTATGATAATAGTTAGAAATTCAATTCAATCTCAATATTATTAATGGAAATAAAGATACAACTTTGCTGCACGATATATGTTATCACGAGCTTCATCGATAAAAGTTATTTATGTATCAAGGGCGTAAAATAGGCTTTTATGGACCTCTTCACCTTCCCAGACAGCACTGGATATTCCTAGAATATTCTCTAAATATGCTAAAAGAGAAGAATATATTCCGAGTATCCTTCGAATATTCTTAGAATATATACGTGCCTCTGAAACTTTCAAGAAATGTGGATATTCTAGTAATATTCCAAAATGAAAATACGAGGAATATTCCAGAAGGAATAACCTGAAGTGAATATACCTAGAATATTTCAGTTGGATAGTGCAGGGAATATTCCAGGAATATTCCCATCTGAATATTCTGTTCCTGTATATTCATGGAATATTCCAATAATATTTCCATGTTTCAATAAAATTGAAAAGTATGGAAATTAACCAATCACTATTTTATAAATGTGAGTCATTGATTTCGAAATCTGTGGTAGAAGTCCATCGTATTTCAAAGTAAAGTGGTTATATTACCAGGGATCAAAAACACAAAGTCGTCTCCACAATTTTGATAGGAAGTGATCAAAGTACTCAAAGATCATCGTACATGTTAAGAGCCCATATGGAACTGGAAGTGTTAATGATCCGCTTCTGAATAACGCAATTCAATGAATTGTTATGTACAGTATTATTCAACTCGATTACTGGCCTAGTGGTTAAGGCGTTGATCTGACAGTCTGAAAGTCCCGAGTTCGAGCCCATTTTGGGTCAGCTTTTTTTAATTATGAATATGAATTAAGGAATATTCCCGGAATATTCATTTATTTATATTCCTGTATTATTCCTGGAATATTCCGAATATTATCTGAAAATTCCTAGAATATTATAGGTACACTCTGAATATACAGGGGAATATTCCTTGTGTAATATTCCATGAATATATAAAATTTTCCCCAACAGCACTTTCAGGGAATATTCCATAGATGATATGTATATCCCTGGCATGTTCATGAATATTCGCAATATACAAAAAGAATATTCTATGAATATTCATGGAATATCTGGTGCTGTCTGGATTCCAAGATTCAAGAATGATAGAAATACATCATGGCTGCAGTGAAGAACATCATTGATGGAATCAATGTTACCACGGTAACTCATTGAATTAATTGAAATCGGAGTAGACTATCACATTTGATGTCAATTAATATCATCACAGATTAATCTCATTTTAGGTTCGAAGGAAACTGTAATATTAAATAATGATAATGAACCATCATCACAACTAAAACATGAACATCCTGAATTATACAGGAATACTTGTTACGAGTTAGGTACCTAATCGCCGGGCGGTAAAGTAGCTACTTTACGCCAGGTCGTACATATATACAGGGTGATGCACGGTGGATGACCTATTAGAAGTATCGGGAGAACAAGACAACAGAACATTCTGAGAATTGGGATGCTTCGATAATTGAACTTTCTCTATCCGTCTAAAATATTTTCATCGATACAGTGTTGCCACTTCGATCAGAAACAACTAGCAACTTTGTTATTTCAAATGGAACTCCCTGTATTTCATTGCATTTTAAGATTCTTCCTTAAGAGCTGATTTCATCAATGCATCACACTTGGGGTCTAGCAGAAACGATTACAGAGACATAGGGTGTTCAAAATTGAGATTTTTCAATTTTAGGATTCTTTTATGTCGAAACTATTCATTATAACGGCTCACATGCCCCTATCTCAACTTTTGTTTAACTATCTACTGGAATTTAGTTGAAAGAAATACAGGGTGCTTCAAGTTTCAGAATTTGTATCACCCTGTATCTTTTCCAATTGAATGTCAGTAGATAGTTAATTGAAAGTTATGATAGGGACATGTGAGCCGTTTTGATCGATAATGAATAGTTTCGACACGAAAAAATCCTAAAATTGAAAAATCTCGATTTTGAACACCCTATATCTCTGTAATCAATCCTGCTAGACCCCAAGTGTGACGCATCGATGAAATAAGCTCTTCAGGAAGAATCTGAAAATGCAATAAAATACAGGGTGCTCCATTAGAAATAGCGAAGTTGCTAGTTATTGTTTCTGATAGAAGTGGCAACACTGTATCGATGAAAATATCTCTGACGGATAGAGAATGTTCAATTATCAGAGCATCCCAATTTTCAGAATATTCTGTCTTCTCATTCTCCAGATACTTCTAATAGGCCATCCAGCGTGGATCACCCTGTATATTAAATTATTTTCTGGCGTAATCACCCTGTATGAATAAATCGGCCTACCTTCTCGGATTTCATTTCTTCCAAGAGCTCTTGGGTCACCGCTTCCCGGTTTAACAAAAATAACTCTAATTCAACTTCCATTTCTTCTGAAGAGTAGAGTCACTATACTGAAAACAACAAACTATATAATAATGATAAATACAAAAATTAAAATGATGAATATTTCTGTACCAATACCCACAAACTACCTTCATGAAGGTATGTTTATCAAAATGAATAATGAACAGAATTATAATAACTGTAAGTAGGTAGAGAGGTATACCTCTGCAACTGAATACTTCTTTAAAGATGGAATCAACAAATATGCAACTTCAACACAATATCACGAA